AGCAACTCTTTGGTGCCATTTGTGAGTTTAATGTGAAAAATCAAACCTCAGAATACAAAAGGGCTACTAATTTAGAGTTACACATTAATTACATGCATACAGACAGTATATGAATAATGACAGGGACCTTTACCTCATGTGGCTCACCCTCCTCAATAACTGTCTCCTCAATGTAGTACTATTAAAAAAGAGGAAAAAAAGACCATTATTAGGTCAGATCAGCAAATTGTAGCTCTGTGAAGCTGTTTGAAAACCACACTGCTGCAGGAACAGGGGCTGCAGCTCACAGGTGCCGATGGGGTCACTTGGTAATTCTGAATATCCCCTCATTTTTCGCGTTAATGATTGGGTGTTTTCCACACGTTCCTCAACTAATCCTCCCCCAAGCAATTAATGAAGGGTCGTTATCTAATTTTACCCCCCCCCCAGAGGGAAGGCAATGATGACCACACTGAAAGAATCAGCATTTAAACCCCAGGACTTTCCAAGTGTATGGTGACGCTCTGAGGGGGCTGTAGGAGGTTTCTCAAAGCCTGTCCTCAGAGTTGGTCCTGCCTACAGATCTTTGAAGGGCTCCAATAATTACTGGCTGCCAGTTCAGCTTTGTCCTGCCGATCACAACTCTGACCCTGCTAATTTTCCACCCACTTCACTGTGCTCTCTCCACCCCACACCTCATAAACTTGGTGATACAAAGAGCAATCAAGACCCACAACCTTCACTGCCCTCCCCCTGCCCACAGCAGCTGTGAACTCATTAGAAACACCGATTAGATGGGTCAGCCCAGGTCTGCCCTTGATAACTCAATGTTTACAGCTCCTCACGACCTTCATGTCTTTCGTGTGTTTAGAAATAGCTTCTCAAACGATTTGCCCCACGGCCTTCCCGAAGAACGGAGCGAGGCTGACCAGCCTGTGGTTCCCTGGATTTTCCTCCTTGCCTTTCCTGAACGTCAAATCCAGCTGAACTTGAAGGAATGGTTTTTGTAATGTTTTTTATGTTCCTCCCAAGTGTCCTGATCCTGCTTCCACCCTCAGTATATTTAATTTTTTTGTGATTTTGCTCCGTCAGGAGCTCCGTGTTCCTCCACATCAGCCTCTTGCTGTGTTTGACTTCTGCACTTTGGATTCAACCGTGTGCTCCGAGAAAATCATCCTAGAAGATCACCCAACTCCCCTGGGCCCCAGAGGATCCTCCCTGAACAGCCCCAGATCTGTATTTCCGAAGTCTGGGATTGTAATTCTGTTTATCTTCCTCACTGCGCTCTGAACCTTCAGCTCCGCAGTCCTGTGGTCACAGCAGCCATGGCTGCCCTTGACCTTGGCATCTTCCACCGCTCCTTGCTCGTTTGCGAGCAGGAGGTTCCACAGAACATCTCTCCTGGCTGGGACAATGGAATTGGGAAGGGGCTGGAGCAGCAGGAGGAGCTGAGGGAGCTGAGGGGGCTCAGCCTGGAGAAAAGGAGGCTCAGGGGGGACCTTCTGGCTCTGCAATCCCTGACAGGAGGGGGGAGCAAGATGGAGGGTGGCTCTTCTCCCAGAGAAACAATCGACAGCACGATAGCAAACAGCCTCTAGTTGTGCCAGGGGACGTTTGGATTGGATTCTGGGAAACATTTATTCACTGGAAGAGTGGTTAAGCATCGAACGGGCTGCCCAGGCAGGCGGTGGAGTCACCATGCCTGCAAACGTTCGAAGAACGAGTAGACGTGGTACTTTACGGTTTGGTGGGCATGAGGGGTGGACTTGACGACCTCGGAGGTGTTTCCCAGCGTCAATAACTCCGCGATTCTCCATCCTCAGGCTCGCCCTCCATCACCAACTGAAGGGAGCCCCGACCCGCCATGCCCAGCCGCGGCCACACGGTGGCGCTGTCGGGTGGCAAATGGCGGCCGCGCTGAGGGGGCCGCGCTGCGCTCGAGCCCTCGCTCTGCCGCCTCATCATCTCCCCTCGCTCTGCCGCCTCATCATCTCCCCTCGCTCTGCCGCCTCATCATCTCCCCTCGCTCTGCCCCATCGTCTCCCCTCGCTCTGCCCCATC